GTCCATGTTGGGTTTTGGAGCTGCGAAGGGCGGGGGAAGGAGCGACGAATGGTGGAAAGGGTGGGTCGAAGTTGCTGAGACGCTCTAGAGAGAGGGTGGAAAGAAATTGGCCCGGGCCTGGGAGGTGAGCGCAAATGACGAGAAATATTTGTGCGACACACCTGGGGGCCGTGGAGATGTCTCGCAATATCCGATAATCCGCCCCCCTACTTTTGAGCACCGTCCAAAGGGTTCTGCACGGGGCCGGCGGGATATGGGGAGGGCCGGGCGCCATAGGGTCGAGCGCGCACTTGGGGCGTATCGGGCGCGGCGTCGGGGGCGAGCACGGCCAAATTTCGGCGCCGAAAATGTCCATTGGGTCCGTCCAGGGGCGCCGGTGGGTGGGGAGGGGGTTCGAGGTGGATGGGCAAGCGGGAGGGGCGGCGCGGGGGAGATGTCATGAATTGTGAGCATACGGGAGGGGAAATGATCAGAAAGAGAGTGCGTGCCTCAGACACAACAGGAATGGGTATCGGAAGCCATTACAAAAATGTTTGAAGAGATTTCGTTGTGAATTGAGCGGATAGTCCCCAAGTTACTGGCGAGATCGAGCGAAATTGGTCAGAGTGTCGGGTCGTGACGTCGTCAAGTGAGAGAAGGGCGGGCTGGAGGGTGTTCGGTGAAGTTTCTTAGGCTTCACAAATGCGCAGAAGGCACCGGGGCCCTATAATTGCTGGTTAGCCACGACGTGGTGGACGTGGCGGGAGAGAGGAGGGAGCACAGCCCTTGCGAGGCAAACAGGACCACACATATCGGCGCGACGGCACGAGTGTGCCGTGTAACGAAGGGATTCTCTCACGGATGCAAGGGGCAGAACTGTTGACGGGACTGGGATGAAGAGGCGTCCCAGCAGCTGCTGGGCCTTCCACCGATCAGTCCCTGGGGAGAGTATAAAGCAAAGATTTGCATTTGAATTTTGAACTAGCTTGTTGATATGTTCTGGGATTTGAACAGACATAGGTGCCACCGGAGTGTGACGGGGCTAGGATGACGGGGCGTCCCCGGTAGCTGCCGGGCTTTCCATCCATGAGTCCCCGGGAGAGTGTGAGGCAACGATTGGAAATTAACTACTGAACTTGACTGGGTTCGCGGGAATTGCCTGATACTTATTTCTGCGGATGAAGCGCCTAGCCGTACATGTTGCAGAGACTTTCCGCGACGGTGGCGCCATGCTGAGGTTTGCGCTGTCTGCTTATTCCCGGTGGCGTATGATGTAAATTTACTGATAGTCTCCTACCTACAACGGCGCCTGAAGGTATTTAGAATTCTTGTTAACCTAGCTGTGCCCGCTAGCCCTAGGTGCAAGCTCGTGTTCCCCGCGGCACGCGGACAGGATAACCTTGAAAAGTGACCCGAGCGATAAATACGGTGTGTGGTAAGTACAACGAGGGTAGGAATATTAAATAAGGGAGCTGACTCTGTCAATGAATTTGACGGGAGAGAGGCGCGGAGGCTGGGAGACTCCAGATGAAGAAGGCCAGTGTCGGGGCACCGCGTGAGAAGGCGACAGTGGTTTTGCGCTCGTTATAGTCTGTTACTTACTGCACCTGATAAGCGGTGTTCTGCGTTATGGAATGATGGAGGATGCAAGACCAAATAACCTATTTATTTCACGCGTCTATTGTATCTTGCATCACTCAACGTGAACTTTGGACAAATTTCAGCCCAGGAGTTCAGGATACACCTCCTGTTTCTTTTTGAACAAAGCTATATTGTACATGAATTGCAAGGCTGATTTCTCAGCATACCTCTCAGCTTTCTTCATTTCACCCACCTCCTGCTGAAATTTCAGCCGGAAGAATTTCGGAGGGTCTCATGGGATCCATGTATCAATTCTGACCCCCCCCCCCCAGTCGATGGCCGAACTCTATTACTTATATCGCGCCCAACACGTCAAGTCCTTGAATGGTGCACATGCTTTCTTAAAGTTATAGAATAACGCAAGACGCCACTTGTGATGCCACAATAACTAAAGGACTGCAAGTTTTCCACTAATCATAACTGAGATGTGGCCCAATCCACCCAGTAGTACCGCAACAACTTTTGAGATTTACCGCGTGGTTTACGAGTGGGGATTGCCGGTCATCTGCGCTTGCCGCCATGCCGAACTTCCGGCGAACATCGGAGGTGTCTCGCCGGCATCTTTTCTCATTGCTAGCTCGATGTTGGTTTTCGGGGCTCTATCTGTGCCTATCTTCTCGCCGTTCTCTGTGCTTTGATTCCATCTGGTGCAGATTCAAGCTCACACAACTCTGAAACCGGTAAGCAAAATACGGAAGATTCAGGGTTTGCCCATAAATTTTCCTTTAAAAAAGTACATAAGTGCGAGTTCTGCCGGGCAACGCCACGGCCCTCCTCCACCAAGTCTTAGGTGTAAAATTAATTTTCATGCTACCGTGAGGTACGGGTTCTTAGAGAGCCCGATTTTTGGGTTTTGGGCGTGCATCACATTTTGGTCGGCAGTTTTCGCGTAATCGCTGCCAAAATGTGTCGGCTTGCAGCGGCTTGCCCAAGCCCCTGATTGCCGAGTCGACAGTCATAATCGTGCTTATTCTCACACTAATGTTCTCCGACATTCTGCTCCGCTTGCCAACGTGGCAGCCGGCAGGATTCAGACTCCGTTCAGTATCTGAATTTTCTTCAGACTTTACTGGTGAATCAATACACCCTCAGGCCTGAGCCATGCATTTGGGGATTGTAGAAATCACAATTTTGCCTCCGCTTCTCATTTCTATATAAGCAATTCCACCCTTAGAAGGTTGGGACCGCACTCGCTCATCAATTCACATGCTCCGCTCCCCTCACGAGCATTACCCCAATAGGTGAGAGTTGGCCGCGAAAGATTGAGAGAGACGTCAACATCAGCGCGAGTCTGCGTATGTGTACCAGGGAGAGTTGGCAAAGACTGAGACAAGGGTGATGGCACACAGTCCGAGGGCGGATAGGACGAGGCTACATACATGGAATTCCTGTCCTTGGAGTCCATCTTGGAATAAGTGAGGGCATGGCTGACCACGATGCCGTAGAGGATACCCACCATGGCCAGGCACAAGCAAATCAAGATGAAGCTGCACGGGACAAAAGATCAAACCACCGAAATCTAGCAAGCACACCCAAACCGGTACTCGAATCCGCCCATGGTACCTCGGAGTTCGATGGGAAAAGAATTTAGAGTGCCACGTCGGCTACAGGAAACCGAGAGAGGTGAAAGTGAGCGGGTTACCGTCGAGCTCATGCATCGTTGTCCCAGTGTCTCGGACTAGATATTGCCTGCGGCTGAGTTTGGGTGAAGCGGACGGAAAAAAAACGAACTGCTGACGTGACCTCAGCCAACCCACGAGGCCCGATATTTTTGGTGCATCTCAGTCCCGGCGTCTACATCTCATGAACGGCGCTAAAATATAGGGCCGGGTTTGCATTGGACGCGAAGCTGACGTATCATTCGAAGCTTAGGAGTGGTCGAGCGCTGAGCAATTCTTGCGAAGCAATGATAAACACCGTGTACAATGGAGAGCGAGAGGAGGGAATCAGAAATTATTAAGATTGTCCTGTTTAGCTATCGTCCTCGTCCGAATGGTCCGAGCAGTCCGAACGGTCGGAATCTTCCGAATCGTCCAAATCCCTCAATTCTTCGACCAAAGAGTAGACGCTCCCTGAAGGAACTTAGTCGACGCTCATCGATGATCCAGGGCCAACTCACGTGCGATTTCTCCGGAAATCCTCTTGGCGATGAACTCGTCAGCGCGAGCCCAGTAGTCCCTCCCCGTGAGGACACCCCTCCGCCAGTCTACGATGTAGTTTTTGAGAGGCATCGTGATGAAGCGCGGGTCGCGGACGAAGCTGTCCAGCGGCAGGACGGGCAATTCGGTTATCGGCGACTCGTCCACAATGATCAGCGCACGCAGGGTTTTACATCCTTCGAGCAGGTGAGGACAGCTCGGGATGATATCGAGGGTGTCAACTGCCAGGTGGGTGAGGTACGCGAGCGCAGTGATGCCGTCCCATTTCGCAGGGTCCCCGTCATCATCAGATATGCCGTTGAAGAGTTCCAGATGTGTGAGATGGCTGAAGAACGGCTGGGCGAACGTTTCAAATTTGATGACGCTGGTAGCTTCGCAGAGCTGTGCGAAATCACAATACAGATGTCGCAGCGAGATAGGGTGGACTGCAGGAAGTGGGGGAGTGGTCGGTGGACCAATTGTGGTGATCCAGAGGTTTTCGACGCCAGTGCAAGTTGCAAGGATGGTTTTAATCTGTTCTACTTCAATCATCTCGACGACAACATTCCGGACGGAGTCGCGCAGGAAGGACGCCGGTTTGGTCCGCGCGATGCGATCGAATGTCTCCATGGTGAATGGAGGGATTCCTTCGATTGGATTGACCTCGCTGGTCATGACCAGAGTTCGATAGAGCAAGGGATCCAGCCTGGATGAGAGTGTAAGCCTGATATGTTACACAATGGCATCGAGCCTAGGCGGATTTCTCACCAACGCTTCACGCGCCAGGCCACGCGCATGAGCTTCGGTATGGAGACAGGACGGGACAGGGCTATCATTTCGAATATATGTCGCTCCAATTCGCGTGGAAGGCTCGATGTTGCAGGCAGATTTTCGGGCATCGTGGTTTGTGGTGAGCGTGTCACCATCACCTTATCCCGAAACAACGTGACTTACGGCAAACTGCTGCTTTTGATTGCCGCCCTCTTGAAGCCGCACATCCAAAAAGTCCAAGGAAAATACAGAACATCTGAACATCATCCCCAGGTCTAAATATGACCATTGATATGTATATGTGATCCATTTCTGGCTCCTCTACAGCAGATCACAGAGAAAAATTATGAACCTCAAGTGTCAAGTGTTGACCAAACCCCAAAGAAGAAAGCGAAACTATCTCAGGTTGAACTCAACTTGAAGAGCCGAACGGCTATTCTAATAAAGCGAGGGACTCCAAACCCATCGATAGGCTTGGTAGTGGATTGTCCACACCTGCAACCCGTATTCGTTATATAATGCAGGAGGAGCACGTTCGATTCGTGCCCGAGCCCCTGTGAAAGTCGATGATCCTTTTTCCCGTGCTCGACGGGTTGTAATTCTCCAATAAAGGGATCTCGTGAGAGCCCATATGGCTCGCAACTCGGGCGCCACAGAACACGTAGACGAATAGGGCACGCCATATGGTTGCATACCTGGATGAACTCTACTCGAAACGGAGCCGTTCTAAGGCCAAACGCGAACACAAATCCAACTCCATTCCCGTTTTTTTCCGACCAAGGATACCAAGAAGGACAGTAGCTGTATTTTTTGAAACATGTATTCAATTCAATTCATTCAGTATATACGACGAGCTCAAACGTCTACCTGGACTCTCAGTCCTTAGATGCTCTACCAGAAATGGGGGGGACCAACGAATCAATTTACAAGGGGTTTACAGTCTATTTCAGTCCGTACCAGTAAATGATCCTGGTTTGTGGTGTGAAGATTACAAGTGACGAAAGAAACATACAGTGGAAGTTATCACAGAAGATCAGGATCCAATTCCCACCCTGAAGAAAACGAGAGACGCACCATGAGGTATCACCATCCCGGACAGAGCGCTGGATCCAGCGATGATGCGCGCCTATGCAGACCGGACGCGACGGGCGGGGCGGGGCCCTTGGGGAGAGGTAGGGCGATGGGGGAGGTGTATATCGTCACCGGAAGTGCCGCCGTTGACAACGACTTGGGGTCAATGGGACGCGGAAGGGGCGCGGAGGCCCGTCGGGGACGCACGGCGAATGTACATCTCGCGCACGGGGACTGGGTATCTATCTCCCCGCGCGCGACCGCCGTAACGGCCATGCCGCGCTCCTCATTCGCGCACCACCGCCGCCCTGCGCACAAGCGTCCCGCGCGCGCTCACATCGCTCACGGCATCGCCCGGTGCATCTGTCTCCCCGCGCTGGCTTCGTTCGCGCCCAGCCCCTCGCATCTCGCGAACGGCCCTCCTGCATCGCCACGAGTACGGGGACACGATGCCTCCCAGCGCGCGCTACTCCTCGGACTTGCACCCCCGAGCGCCACGCTCGTGCTCTGCCGCATCACGTAGCGTAGTGCGGTGAGTACGGGGACACGGTGCCTCCCCGTCCCCGCACCGCCCCCGCCCCGTGCCTTCTCGGGCTTGCACCCCATCCGGGCGCGCCTCGCCCACGACATCCCCCGCTGAATGCCCGCGATTACCGGAACTCGGTGGCTCCCCGTGCACGCTCCCCGCACCACCCGCGCCCCGCTACTTCTCGTACTTGCACCCCATCCGCGCGCCTCGCTCGCTGAGTCCCCGCGAATACGCGGACCCGGTGCCTCCCCGCGCGCGCTCCCCGCACCGCCCGCGCCGTGCTCCTCGTAACTGCACCCCCACGCGAGCACAAGGAGTCGCTCCTGCGCTGGCCTCCTCGTACCTGCACCCCCAAAGGCTGCGCGCACACGGCGCACCGCGGGGGCCTCGCACTCGCACTCGTACCCCCGACCGCAGCCGCGTCGTCTACCGCGTGAGCGCGAGAGCGCGGGGCGCTGGCTTGGTACCCGAATCGCCGCCCGCGAACTGGGACGACCCGCGCTGCATGCCCGCGCGATTAGGCGCTCGCGCAGAGGCGGGCACGGAGCGCGCGACGACGCACGCGCTGACGTGGGGCAAAGAAGAGAGGGGAGCGTACGTACCTGTATGCGAGTCCGCCGCAGGGACTTGAGAATGTAAGGACATAAGGAGTGGAGTATGCATGTAAGGTTGTGCACCTTGAGACGCCAAGTGAATGAGGCTTGCGGGGCACACGCGCAGAGTGAGCCCTGAAAAGAGTCGATCTGCGTGACCGAGGCGAGTACGGGGCGTAATCTGTGGGGCGGGACCACGACTCGGGGGCACGGTACGGCATCCAAAGAAAAGGCGGGAAAGGAAGGGAGGGAGAGCGCATCTAGGTAGGCGGGTAGCATTACACGGCGGGCCCGGACAACGAAAATCTCAGGGATCCCTTTCTCGTGCCGCGCAACCATCCACTGCAGGCCTTCGAGTTGGTAGTCCTTCACTGACGACCACATGCGGAACGACGCGGGCGAGCACGACGCACTCGCTTCGGGTATTCATGTCGGCGTCGCGGCGGGTGTCTCTGATGGCGTCCAGGGCGTCCAGCTCGCCGCCGGTGGCGACGACGACGATGCGGGCGGCGACGCCGACATGCTGGCATAGTGGCAGTGTAAACAGAAAAATGATTTGATTGGTAATTGATGCGCGGAGTTTGAATTTCCCTCGGCCAAACCCGCAATCCCTTTGTCCAAGTCTACTGGCTGTTAAAATGCCACAAGAACCTTCTGAACCCCACTTGGCACCTATATAAGAAGCTTTGGAATATCCTGGGGCATTATAAGGCCATTTCCACCTCATTTGGTAAATACTGTTGAAAGTTGACACGCGCCGAAATCATCGTCCCGTTTCCTTGATTTCGAAGACATCTTTCGACTTTGTAAACAGATCAGGCAAACCGCTCACTCTATGTAGAAATTCCATGAAATATCGCGTCCCACGCAAAGCGCAGTGAATTCAAAACTGTGCAAAACGGCGCTCCCGTCGGACACTTTCTTAAGAGGCCAAGATAATTATCCGGAAACAAAAGTCTTCGTCATCAGCGTTGGCGCTTCGGGCGGGCGGCGAATCAGCCGGTGATGCGCAGGGCTGCGCTAGTGGGACCCCCATGGGCCACAGAGACAGAGACCGAAACTCTTGGTGACGAGCGTGACAGTATATATTCGTACAAGACATGCATTCGCTTCGCTCCGGCGTTGGTAGAAAATATAAGGGGCAAATGTATTGATTGGTTCATTAATGCACGTCGTAGCAAAGTACCCACGACGTAATAGCAGATGAACCAGAACTCATAGAGGTATCAGTTGGGCATCACGCGGGACTTGAGCGAGTATTCCGCGGACCAGGTACCCGGAGGAGGCAGCATAAACCATTCGAAATTCAAATCAGAACGTTGCTCGAATTGTGAGGTTGAGCCGTTGCGTTGTCAGTAGAGTTGTGTTGTCGAAGGAGCGAGATATATTCGATGGAATCAATGAATTGGGAATCACAGAACACAACGGAAGCTAGATGAAGAAGGGAGACCTATTCAACAGCCTAGCCCAGGATTCGAGCAATGCGGTGCTTGCGAATCGGCTGGTCCAGGCCACGCCGGCGAATAATTAGAGACCCAATTGAGAGGCCGTAAACCAGGAGTAGACCAAACAGAGGCGGAAAGGCTGGATGGAAAGGACATACATGAAGGCCTTTTATACCTGGCGCGAGGGGTACGTGGCTGCAGTTCGACGTTTTGCTGTTCCTACGGCGCAATGAGACATATAAGGAATCCTTGAGCCGCGTAACACCGCTGGTGGACACAAGGCGTTGTCTGGCCTCCCCTCCGATCCCAAATTGATCCCAATTACGCAGGTCGCAGTCCTGCGGAAGTAGGATTTAATTAGGAAATCGCGGGCACAGTGAGAATATGCACCCGAACGGGGATGCACCGGAAATTCTTTCAAAGGGTGCGTATTTGGAGTGTAGCTTCGTCTGCCCAGTGCATTTGACATTAACTGAAAGAGGAGCCAGCAAGAAGCCTGAGGAGATGAGAGGGAAAAGGATGGGGATACTTGTATTTATTCCGTTCAAGTCGACAATCACGCGTCACGGGGGTGCTATCGAATGTGAACTTTAACAAGTGTTCAATTCAATTCAATTTCAATTCAAAATTCCATTTGAGTGCGCGCGGGCCCCTGGGGGCCCACGTGGCACTATACTTATTTACAGAGTGGGTGGCTAGCGATCGCAAGGCAGGGAGTGCGGGAGGGGCGTCAAGTCATGTCGCCATTGAGCGATGGGGAGATGAGCAGCGGCATCGTTGGGTGGAAGACGAACGCGTTGGCGTTGAAGGTTGCATTGACCCATGAGGGGATGGCTGCGCCGGCATTGTCCCAGGATTGGGGGACTTTGATGTCTGCACCCTTCTCAACCAGGAACTGAACAGCTTCTGTCCTTTCCCAATAGGTTGCAGCCTGCAGTGCGGTGCCAAAATATCCACCTGCCGCGCTGACATCCGCACCTGCCTCGAGGAGAATATCCATGACCTCCATGTATTCCCTGCGGATGCTGCCTGCAGTGCGTTGTCGTATGGGTCCTCGGGCAAAAAAAATGTGACCAGCGGGTCGTATTTTCCGGCTGCTGCATTAACTTGGGCACCATTCTTGAGGAGGAAACGGACAGTCTCGGTTTGACCGGCCTCGGATGCAGCCCGCAACGCCTCGCCACCCTCTGCATCGACATCAGCACCGTGATCGAGCAAAAACTGCGCTCCATCGATGTATCCAATTCGGGAACACATAGACAGGGGCGATGGGCATTCACGCTTCCGGCCTAGGCGCTGCCGCCGCCATTCATCAGAGACCCGAATGTCATTGAGGTAGTTCAAGGCCAGGTACTGGGGGCTTCTGCTCTCGAGGAGACGCATTGTGGAGGTCAATAGCATTCCCCGATCGTGGGAGCGGAGTAAATGATAACTCCAATGCTCTGCCCCATATGACGCCAGTGGATAGTCGGGGACTGTCTCCTGGTTGAGGAGATGGTCAGCAAAGTAAAGGAGGTAGCCCACACAGGTTTGCGCGATGAATGTGTATGACTCTCCCCTGTTGATCTTCTTCTCTGCGAATCCGCGGGACATGAGGTATTCCTCAACTGATGCGTGTGTGAGGGTTACCTCAGCTACGCTGACGGTGATGAGGCCTTGCAGTAACCCACACACCCTGTTTGCATGTCCGCGCTTTCGCGCTGGGTCATACACATAATTCTGTGGGTCCGAGAAGTCGAACGCAAGGGTTTCCTCGAGCTCGGGAAGGCTGAGAGGCCTCGCGGAGAGGAGGAGTCAGCACAGGACCCGTTCTACATGCATCACCGCCGTGTGATGAATAGAGCCCAGGAGGCGGTCATAGAATTCAAAAAGGCCCTCCGGGAGATTTTCCAGTATTTGGTTGGGGTCCTCGGCAA